AAAAAAAAAAAAAAAAAAAAAAAAAAAAAATATTATATATAACATATATTAAGCTTAATGATTATAATATAATTAAGGGAAAGATAAGGGTAAATATTTTTTGGTGGATGAGAATGTAACAAAAATCAAAAGTCATATTTTGCAGGCAAAAATGGCGGTTAAGAATATTTTAAATTTTTTTTTCTTACGGGCCAAATATGCTTTTAAAATTCTTTTAAGATTAAGAACATTTTTAGGGGTTATTACTTTTTTTTCCTCTTCCTTAACCCTTTTCCTTCTCTATGTAGATGACAATTATTGAAAGAACTTTTTTGGATGTTAACCTTTTTTCATATATTCCCATAAAAATTTTGCTTGTAAATAATTTCAATCATTTGTTCGTTGCACGAACTTTTTTTTTTATTTTAAATAAAGAGAATAGTAAAAAAAAAGCATAATATTTTTAGTTGAGTTACACGTATATTATAATAATAATAATAATAATTACAAAACTGATATATGAATTTAAGATATTTTTTTTTCTCGATTTAAAAATTTATGATTATTATAGATTAAAAAAAAAATTTCATCTAATGATTTTATTATACATATATTAATTATATTTATATTATATAAATAAGTATTATAATATTTTATTAATAAATAATCAAAATGTTTAAAATCATGAACCATATAAAAAACATGTTATGACTTATGATATCGTGCTTCTCCTCGAGTCAATTTGGGAAATTTTCCGGTCACAGACCACATAAAATTATTTGAATGTTGTGTGATACGAGATCAAGTATTCTTTTGTAAATCGATAATCTACTTTTTTATTATAGGGATTAGGGAATTAAAATAAAGGATCAACATGATACCATAACTGCATTAATTAACTATCACAATTTTTTATAAGACTAAATAAAGAATTATTTTAATAATATATTGTGACAAATAAAGTTTGAAAATCCATATCTGAGTCGATCAAGAAAAAAGACTTGAAACGAAAAATAAAATAAAATAAAAAAAAATGATGAAAAAAAAAAAAAAAACTTGATGTTATTTTTAGTAAATACTTAAGTTTAATTTAAATTAAACTAAAATTATTTGATGAAATTTTTTTTTTTTTAACTGCAGCATATTCATTAGTTTATTAAGTAAAAAAAAATATATAATTACATAAATGTATAATACTATATATTAAAAACCTAACATTATTAATTAACAAACTACTTGTCATATTATAAAAATACCTTATATGTGTACTATTGGGTGGAAATTACGCTCAGAAAGTAAGATATGTTTGAAACAGGTTTTCTTAGCAAACGCCTCTCTTTCTACACAATGGGATCTATAAGATTTATTATTTGATAAAATTGCAATAAAAAATAAAATAAATTTATATATAAAAATTTTATGGTGATTTTTATTAAAAATAAGAATTTTATAAAAAAAATAAAAATAAAAATATTAATAAATGTTTTTAATATAAAATTTATTTTTTTATTAGAAATTTAAACTGATTTTTAATATTTTTAACAAATTTTAATAAATGTCTTATTAATTTTACTAAAAACTACTTTTTAAAAGATTAGTAAAAAACCTTTTAAAAAGAATAAATAGATATTTATAATATAGAATTTTAAACTATACTAAAATAATTCAAATCTTATGTAACAAAAATTTCAAATGAAATATTTTGATTAATATTAGCTAATAATTTTATGCATTTGAAATTAGAATTTATTATTAAGTTTATATAAATCAGATTTGAATTCTTTTTAGTATNTTTTTTAATTTTTTTTTTTTTTTTTGCTTTTTGTAACAAAGAGATTAGAAAATTTTGACTTATACTCTAAAAGGATTATTTTGACTCGGTTCCAGATTATATAATTTTATGAGTTACATAATTTTAACTAATTTAGTCCATGCATTTTTTTTTGATTATTTGTAATATAAATTATTTATACATACGGGAACTGAGAAAGGACAAAAAAAAAAAAAAATAAATAAAAAAAAATAATAAATAATAAATCTTATCTAGTAATTTTATCCTTTAAAAAGATAAAATAAAGAAAGAATTTTTTTGTTGAATCGATTTATAGATTTGAAAAAAAAAAGAAAGGTACAAAAATGTATGTGCAATAAATATTTTTTTCGCCAACTTGCCTAAAATTACCATTGAAACCGTCATCCCGAATTACATTGTTGTTTTTTAGAAATATTTTTATATAGTTTATGTTATATTAGATATTTTTAGAATCATTTATAAAAAAAATATTTTATATATTATATATATTATTTATTATATATATATTTGTAATGCAAAATAAAAATAATAATACAAAATATTTTTTTATTCAATACATACAATAATGTAAAGTTCATATCAAAATGAAACCATTATTTATTATCTGCGCGTGATATTTTCTAATTCTACTTCTTAACTTATTAATTCAAGAATATTCTCAATGTTTCTTTTCAGCTGATCTGATGGATTAAAATGCATAATAACTCAAAGATCGAAATTTTAAATGATTTTATTGATCAGGAAAATGTATTTAAATATATTTAAAATCAAAAAGTCATTGTCATTGTTTGTTGCATTCAATTTATATCAATAACACGAAGTAAATAAATGGGTTTGGTCTAATATCAATTAAGTTAGGATCTCAATCATTTACATCATATTACTTTTTAATTCTTTAATTCGTAAGTTTCTTTCAATGTTATACATTATAAATTAATTAATTATACTATACTTATTTACAGATAAAGTTAATTGAATATTTGATTAAATGCATTTTTTTTTTTATATTTGATTCAATAAGTGGCGTTGTTGCATATTACAATTATACAATTGCGTTGTGATCTCTTGAAAAAACTTTCCCTGTACAGCCCCCATGCATACATTATTTGATTTTGGGAAACTCTTTGAACTCTTTTATCAAATACGTAAAATACGTAACTCTTATTCGTTTTTATTGTTCGAAATCGATTTTAAATTATCATCGTATAGATCGTAATAAAGTTCTTTCTTGTACAAATTGGGTACGACTTTTTTTCTCAAGATCAATTTTTCTTTATGAAACCATTTTGTAATACATTTTGTGTATTTATTACGAATTTCAATCGGAATTTTTTAAACGAAACATCAATTTGGTAGTATTTGTTACTTTTTTTTTTTTTTACATATCATGTATTACTTGATTAAATGTAGATTACAAATTTGTAAAATTTTGTTGTAATCTTAAATTTTTGATAATTTTTTTTGTGTAATTTGATATTTTATAATTTTTAATAATTTGTAATTTTTAATTAAATTAATTTTTTATCATTCCATCGGGAAAATTTATAAACATTACAATTTGTTAAAAAGAATTAAAAAGAATAAATTGTAATGAATATACAGTATATAAATAAATACAAATAATTTTATATGCTGCCAAAATTATTTTAAACTGTTATAATTTTATATTAAATAATTTTAATAATAAATAAATAATAATTCACATTGGTTCACTCTTACTAAAAAAGCTGAAGTTTGATTTCTTAATTCATAATCTGTCTAAAAGGTAAAGAATTTAATTAATAAAATTCAGGATCAATATAAAATTTTAGGTATTGCTAATAAAGTTCACCAGTAGTGATGGTATCATTTACGTCTGCCACCTGTGGGTAATAAGGTATCTATTATTATAAATGTTCTCAATGAAACGTTAATATATTTTTGCTTGGTTCAGAATTTTAATAATCATTTTTAACTTAAATATTATTTTTAATTTCAAAAACTTAAACTTTTAAAATTAATTTAACTTTTAAACTTATGCCTTTTACTTACAAACTTGGAGAATTTCCCTTTTTATTATTTAAATCATTATTTTATCATGTACTTTTCATTATTAAAAAAGGGTTAAAGAATCAAAAGTTTATATTTTAAATTGTGTTAAACATATTTTTATTTATTTTTATTGAGCTCAAAAGCTCAAGTTATTTGAAACTGCAGAATTATTTGTCAAATTCCACTAATATTTATACTTTTTGATATTTCACTAATCTTAATATTTTACTAATAATCTTGAAAATAATATTTTTGAAATAATCTTTGGAAAATATTCTTTGAAAAATAATCTAAAATAATTTTTGAAAAATAATCTGAAAAATTAATCTTAAATAAAAAATATTTTACTAATTAACTATTCTAATTTAAATCTATCTATCAATAATTCTTCTACTTAATATTTTTTCGATTTATTGTTACATCATTATTATATCATTTACTTATTATTAATGATAATAAATATTGAAACATTAAACCATGTAAATTACTTGCTTTATCTATCTTTTATTTGATATATTATTTATTCTTCAATTAATCATTTATTCTTCGATTAATTATTTATCTATATTTTGTTCAGTATATTATTTATCCCTTGGGTAATTATTCTTCTGATCACGTAATTATTCTCATATTTAGAATTATAATGGATATTGATCACTATACCAATATTATGATATACTTTTAGCTAAAATTAAAAATCTAATAAAATATTAATCAGCATTACTACTGATATAAACCATCACTAGTACTAATGATATTTAGTAATATCCTAAAATTTTTATAAAATTATAAAACAGATTTTTATATAAATTTTCTTTATTAATATAAAGTAAATTTTACTTTTTTAAATTTTATATAATATATATAATATGTAATCATACATATATATAAATTCAAAATCATATACAGTTAGACTTCCATATATATAATCATATCACAACTCTTTATAAGCAGTATTTTGAAATCTAAATGCTACATGAATGAAATTAACTAAATTAATTATAAAAATACTAACGTATTTTATTTCAGCATTCATTTTTCAAACCAAATTTTTATAATATAAATTTATCTTCTCACAATTACAAATTAATTGTAATCACTATCACATCATTAACCTTAATATACATATTATTTATATTATTGTGTTTTTTAAAATTCTACTACAATAATAAAATAACTCTTATAATTATTTATAAATTATAATTCTAATTGTATATTATAATTTTTAACTAAAATTATAAAATTATAATTTTATTTATAAACTGTAATTTCCTTATTATGAAAATTTGCAATTCTGACTAGTACTATATTTAGCCAAAATTTTAATTTGTTTATAATTTCAGCCAAAATTTAATTTTAAATAAATTTAAAAATTTTCATATAATCACTTTTCTATATAATTACTAATTTTAATAAAATTGTTTAAGTGATTATATAAAGATCTGACTGTATATAATTATATAAATCTAAAATTATAGTAAAAAATTTTATAATATACAAAATATTTATATATATATTTAACTTTATATTTAAGAAATATATACTTATTTATAAAGAAAAAAAAATAATAAAATTGCCTTAATTTTTAATTTTACTTTTTATAAATTATAAATTAATATAAAAAATCTATCAAAATTTTTATAATTATATAATTTATATTTTATAATAAAATTTTAAATTTAATTATAGTAAAAAATCTAATAATAATAACATTATATTTTTAATATTAAAATTAAAGTATTAGGCCAAAGAAATAAAATTATTTGTTTCTCATGAAAAAAAATTGCTAAATTTGACCCGGCCGCCCGGAAAAAAAATTTATTTTCAAAAAAAAATTTAGCCAATTCCTAGAAGATGATTGGTTGATTTAATAAATTTTTTGCCCGGGTTACCAGGTGGAAAAAAAAATTATTTTTTTATGATTATGATTGGTCAAAACCAAAATCACATGACCAAATAAAATAATTTTTTTTATCTTTTCGCAACATTTACATGACCCGCCCGGTCATGAGAAACGAATAAATTTATTTACTTGGCCTTACTAATCTTAACCAGAAAAATAATTCTTCTTTTCCTTTAAAAATTAAAAAAAAAAAACTTTTTTTATGAAATATATAAAATAAATATAATTGGATATTAATCATATAAAAATTTGGCAATTCTTGATTTTAAAAAAAATTTTTATCATAAAAAGTACAATTTAACTATAAAAATTAAAATTATGTAATTTTCTCAAAAACCATCTGAACAACTACCCTTTTTAATTTAATAAAACCTTTTCTTCTCATAAATTTACATATAATTTTATTTTAAATTACTATTCAAGTCAACATTTTAATTAAAAATTGAAATAAAAGAAAAGAGGAGAAAAATTCTCTCTGGTTAAGTTTAGTAATTCTCTTAAAATTAAAGCTACTTTTCTAAATTAAAATTTATTTCTAAACTAATTCTAAACTTTTAAATTAAACTTTATTTTCTAAATTAATTTTAATTTTAAAACTAATAAAAATAATTTAAAAAGTTAAATTTAATTTAAATTTAAAATTTTAATATATTAAGTAAAATTATAAAATATACTGAAATTAATATATAGCAAAAAAATAAATGCAATATAATATAATAAAATGATGCAGTAGAAAAATTTAGTAAAAAATTTGAAATATTATTAAGATAAATTTAATGATAAAAAATTTATTAAAATTTAATTAGTAGATTGCTTAAAAACAAAAATATATAAGATAGTAATATAATATTAAAAATTGGTTTTTAGAATTATCAATTTTAATTCTATCTTAGGGCGGTGACATATATTAGCTAATATTTTAGGGGGTGGGGAGTGTTAGAAGATCTTAGGACACATATACATATATACAATCACATGATGATAGTGGCTTATTCAAATTCACATTTTATCATATGGGCTAATTTCACTCATCTTTGATTTTGTCACGTGTGATGATTGTGAAACCACTGTGCGCATATCAGACTAATAATGCGTAACAGTTGTCCCACAACCCACTTTTTTGCGATCATATTTTTTTCTTTTTATTACAGCAATATGGCAAGTTTTCGTTGCAAACTTTGTTTTAAAGATTTTACAACTCTTCAAAAATTACTTACTCATGAAAGAAACAAACATAGACATAATAAAATGGTACCCCATTTTTACTCGCTTGTTCAACCCTCTTCAGAGCAAATGTCTTATTACATTAATTCTTTCATAGTTCTTGTTAAAAAAAGACTTGGTTTTTCCAGACACGCTGTTGGAAAAAAACGTTTATCAATCGAAACCTTTCCAGAACATGTGTTTGTATATTTTTTTAAAGATGAAGAGACGTTCAAATATAGCCCTGCTAGACATAAATATCAATGTCATTTTGAAGGATTTGCGGGAGCAACTAGACTAAAACAAATATTTTTCTATGATTATTGGGATTTTCGACAACACCCTCTTACTAATACTAAGGGTTATGTTTTACTTGAAGACTATGAAAATAAATATCAAGTTAAATTTACGTGGAATCAAACAATTTTGACAGAAAATAACAGGGAGTTCGTGTTGGGAAGAATGTCTTGTAATTTTGTTACTGATTCTGGAGAATTTCAAGAAAAGTAATTATGTCTTTTGATTTTATTAGTGCAAAAGTCATTTTTTGCTAATACAGTTACCTTTTTATTAAAGTGACGAGAAACAAATATCAACATCAAAAAATGAGATACTATTATATCCAAAAACGCCTATACCCCAACTAATCCATCATCTTCAAAAGAAACTAACAAAAAAAGATTTCGTCATATTTTGCCTCGGCCACCACTTCAGGATATAAATCAATTGCAGTAAAGATCTTTAATTTTCTTTATTTTCTGCATTAATATTCCGCATCTGAATTTCTTGTGGAGTATTATTAATCAAATAATACAATTGACAGTTTTCAAATTCCATTATGTCATGTACTACAGACTTCCCTTTAATTTCGCCACCCATAGTAGTTCTGCCAAAAAACAATCGGACCTAAATTAAAAAAAAGTAAGTTTTTTTTTAAAAAAAAATTATTTAAAATGTAATTATACCTGATTGTGGTTTTTTTTCTCAATACTTGAAGTGGAAAAAATTCGTAATGACAAATTTTTTTCTTTTAGATTTCGTAGAAATTCTGGAACATGTTTAGAAAAAATATGCATATATGGTGTAATGTCCTCCTTTTTGTATAAACCTGGTATTTACGATGCTGAATTTATTTGACCTTTATTTGGGCGACAAAACAAATAAATCCATTATTTTACCTTAATTTCAAAGTCATCAATTTCAGAATTTGTTAAAAATGGCTTTCTTAAGACAACATATAATCCATAAAAATCACGCCAAAGTTTTTCAATATCTTCACCACGTTGTCCTAAGATAAATTGAGAAACAGGAAAATATTGCAATACTTTTTTCTTATCAGGTCTCATCAACGAAGTTCACTCCCATTTACCATGTGATTTTGATTTAAAAAATTCGAAATGGACTTTAATAGTTTTCATGGTTTGCTCAATTTGACTTTTAATTTGTTGTTCAAATTCTTTTTTTTTGAATAAATCATTAAAAAAACACTCCATTAGTACATCAGAAATACGTAATAACAAATGTAACTCATCTGGAATGTAATTTTCTTGCTTAATAGCAGGGAATAACGCAGGTTTTTTTTTACCTATTAGAAAGATATAAATTTAATAAATGCTTATTTAATCAACTACAGCATACATTAGTAAAACTTACATTTAGTATTTTCATTAATTGGCCATTGTAAATCCATATTCCAACGTTCACCAGTTTCACAATTACAATATAAACAAAAGTATTTTGCGTTTGGGGCATTTAAACCCATTATATTATACATAAACTTCCAATCACCAGAGAAAAAAAATTCAATTGGCCAATGTATACCATTATCATCGTATATTCCATTTTCTTTAAGATCCCAAAGCTGGTATTCAAATAGATGTCCAACTTTGGCTAATGTTTCATATTTTTCTTTACCTACATAAAAACAAATATTATATTTTTATTATTTAATAATTTCTGTAAATAATATGTTATAAAATTAATATTACCAATATTGATGATCTGGTTTTAGTACTTCATCCTTTTCATTTAATAAGCAAACAGTTATCATTACATGATTCTGTTTACGTCCCACATTTCGTCTATCACCACCAAGCTTTAAATTTATTGTTTCTCCTGGTTGAAGAATTGATTTACTCCAAATAGGAATGAGTATTTTAAGAAGAGATCGAATTGATTGATATACACCATTACCAATTTCTTGTTCATCAACTACAATTCCATCAGAATTTTCTTGAAATTCATCTTCATCAAGTACAGGTTGTTAAGTGATATCTTTATCAAGATTAAATACTCCAATTTGTATTTGATTGTTTATTAACTTGGTAATTTCAATTTATCTTTGAGCAATTTGATATTCACGTACTAATCGTGCTTCTACAGCAGCAAGCCTTCAATACCCATCCCGGCCTAATAAAGCTTCATCACAAGCACGTACATATGCATCTAATTTTGCATTACTTATTATTGAATTATATTTTATATTAATAATTTGATTTTCACATCCTAGTTCCATATTATATATACAAATAGGATTTTTAGACTCCAAAATCATCTGATGTTTTACAATAAATTGTTTGATTTTTTCATGTGCCTCTTTACCAAATGATGCAAATCGTTTATTTTGTTGTGATATTGACACTTCATTAAGTGGTCTCTTTCTTTTATCAACTACTTTGACAGCTAGTGATCCTCCAAATTGTTCAATTCGTGCTTGATGTAATATTACAATATCAAATCCAAAAACATGTGTTCCAGAATGTTGAGATTTTTTTCAATTAGTTTTCTATATTTTTAAAAAAGTGATAAATATTAAAAAAAAATATTAATAAACAGTAAAAAAAACGCGTAAAATTATATACTATACCCTTAAAAACACGCTTACAGTACCACTTGCAGACCGTTCACTAGATACCATCCATTCTGCTCGACCTTCTTTCCACGTAACAGTATATAAAACCTTACTTGCAAAAGTATATTTTGTTTCACAGCATAACATTTGGCCAGCAACTTCTGTCTTTACAATGTATCCATCAGGAATTTGATATTGGACGCCATGCTTATTTTTTTGTGTGTACTTAACATTTTGTGGGTAATGTCCAAGCGCTATTATTTTATATTTTGAGTGAAAGATCTTACCACCACTAGTATACTGAGCATATATATAAGGATTATTGGGATAATCCTCATGAAAAATTCTGTTCGTCTAATTGAATATTAATTAATGACTCTATCATATATGTATTATTTCGCATTTTTATAAGAAAACACACTTACCATAATATAATTTTCTATTTTTTCTGTTGAAAGTCTTTTGTTAAAAATATGGACAACGAAAAATAGCAAAAAAACAACTTTATTTAATATTCCTTAATTTCGCAATGAGTCTTTGCAAACTAATCTACAACTCATTTGAAACTCGCGATTTCAATAGTAAAAATTTGTTATTCCAAGAAGGACCCCGCTTACTTCTAATAAAGGTCTCCGGGCAAAATTTCAGATTTGTAATTTTACCAACCTTTCTTATCTCATAATTTTACCATATATATATAGTGACCTTTTAAAATTATATTAAATTTTACCTTAGATTTTCAGAGACCTAAATTTTTTTAAATATTAAATAAACAAAATATTTTATAATCATTACAATAAATTTTAAAAATTTTTTATTTTTACTAAGTTTAATTCTTATTCTTTAAAGATAAATAACTTTTATTAGTAAAAAAAGTACTTTGAATTACAAAAATACTATAAAAAAAATCTTAAAGACACACATCTTTAACTTTACTTCTAAACTATTATTCACTTACTTTCTTTAAAAAAATCTAATTTATTTTTTTTTAAAAAAAATAAATTCGTAATTGGTATTATTATGAAAAAATGCTCGTACCCCATAAGTATTAATCCAACTGCTATGAAAATATTTATCTAAATATTTTCGACCTTGCCGAACAACTTTACTTAAGCATGAAAAAGTGATTTCATTTGACCAAAGTGCCCAAATTACGCCCTATAATCACTGATCGGGAAAATAAAAAAAAATTAAAAGTGCGAAAATTGCTCGTATTCCGTAAATATTAAACTGATTCTTATGAAAATTAATATTCAGGTGGTTTCGATCTCGCCGAACAATATTACTTAAGCTTAAAAAGGTGATTTCATTTGACTAAAATGCCCAAATTACGCTCCGAATTTAATAAACAAAAAACGTAAATTTTAAGTTAATATTAAAATAAAAAAATGCTCGTATGCAATAAATATTACTCCAACTGCTATAAAAATTCAAATATAAGTAGTTCGACCTTACTAAACAACTTTCTTAGATAGTAAAATATGATTTGATTTAACCAAAGTACTGAAATTAAATTCTGAAGTTGCTAATTGCTGTACGAATTTTTATATTTTAAAAGCTAATTTTTGTAATAATTTTCAAAAAGATAGTGCTAATGCAAATAAAATTAAAAATATAAAATGGTTTTTACAAGTATAAAGAAAAGAATAAATTTTTTATTTTGAGAAAAAATTATAAAACGTATATTACCAAATATTGTAATAATTGTTGTACAATATTTCAAATTAGTATATATAAGGTAAATATTAAATTTTATATACAATTTTACCTTATTATTTACCGAAACATTTGTAAACTTATATTTGATTTTACCTTATAAAACCGGAAACCTATTTTAACTTTACCTTACATATCCGGAGACCTTTATTTTTCATATATATAATTTTACCTTTACCTATTAAGAGACCTAAAATTTTTTTTTTATATAAATTTTACCTTATATTTTCGGAGACCTCTATTAGAAGTAAGCGGGGTCCTTTCCAAGAGGCAATTGGTTCGAAACTTGGTTATCACACATTTTAGTAGTACAAAGTTCGCTTTTTGGTAATACCCAAGTAGTACAGATCATAAACATCACAAAATTTACTTAGTGAAACAAGCAAGATCAGCCCATATGTTTTTTTTTGTATAACAAATAGAACCAATAGGCAATAGTTTATTAGTTTTATTCTTGGTCTGATGTACATTCCCTTAGATATATTTCATCACAAAAAGGCCCTTCCGTTGTGACGGGAGAAGAGAAAAATCATCAATAGTTCTCGAGTTTTGTACTTTAGCCTTTCCTTTGGGTCGCCCATGGCTGACAGGATGCATTATTCGTTTGTGATTCATCATATAAGCAAGAGTTGGGAAGTATTTATTACATTCTGAACAACAAAGACGTGAATAGGTTATCTGGTCAATAGATGAACAATGCGAATCGTACTCAGGAAGTTTTAAGAGATTATAATATTCAAGAAGGTGTACAGAATTTGTGAAATGCCCATCTCTAATTTTCGCAATTAGAGGTAAAAACTAGTGCTCCTAACAGATCAGATCAGATCAGATCAGATTTTACTTAGATTCAATCTGATTTAAAATTGATTAAATCTGATCTGATCTGAATCTGATCTGAATCTGAAAACCCCAGACAACTTTTTGCAAATTGACTCTAAATTTCAAAAAAAAATCAGTTTTTTGCAATTATCTTAGCATCTAGTAGTCCAATTCATGCGAACTTTTTTTATTTTGTAGCTCTAATTGAGCTCTACAAAATAAAAAAAAATCCACATGAATCAAATCACTGGATACTAAGGATGGTGCCGCAAATATGTAATTGCAGAATAATTGTGATTTATGGTATTGCAGAACATTGCAGATTTTTAAATCTAAAATCCGCAGATCTGCAAATCTGCAATTATCCGCAATCCCACAAATATTCCGCAAATCCGCAAATATCCAAAGTACCGCAATTCAATTGCAGAATATTTGCGGAATTGCAGAATAGTTGCAGATTTGCAGAATGTCCGCAAAAAAAACTAATTTTTTTTTAATGAAATATAATTTTTTAATTTAACTACTAAAAAATATATTTCCTCTTATTATTAATCATAAAAAAAAATCATTTTTCATTAACAAAATTTAAAAAAAAATGATTTTATTTTTTTAGAAAAAAATAGATTGGTAATTTGGAAAAACTGCCAGAAACGGCATTTTCTTTTATTATAACTGCAAAAAAAACACCGGAACTAATAGTTCTGGCAATTTTAATAAAAAAAATAAAAAAAATGCCAAAAATAATAGTTTTGGCGTTTTTATAAAAATTAAAAAAAATGCTGAAATCAATAGTTCCGGCATTTTTATATAAAAAAAAATAAAAATTGAAACGCCAGAACTAATAGTTCTGGCATTTTTAATAAAAAAAAGTCAAAAAAAAAATGCCGGAACCTATAGTTCCAGCGTTTTTATATAAAAAATTTATAAAAACGTCGAGACTCATAGTTCTGGCGTTTTTATATAAAAAAAATTTAAAAAAAATGCCGGAACCTATTGTTCCAGCATTTTTATATAAAAAATAATTTAAAAAAATGCCGGAACCCATAGTTCCGGCATTTTTACATAAAAAAAATTAAAAAATGCCAGAACCATAGTTCCAGTGTTTTTATGTAAAAAAATCAAAAGAAAATGCTGGAACCATAGTTCCAGCATTTTTATGTAAAAAAAATCAAAAGAAAACGCCAGAACCATAGTACCAGTGTTTTTATGTGAAAAAAATCAAAAGAAAACGCCAGAACCATAGTTCCGGCATTTTTATGTAAAAAAAAATCAAAAGAAAATGCTGGAACCGTAGTTCTAGCGTTTTTATGTAAAAAAAATCAAAAGAAAATGCCAGAACCATAGTACCAGTGTTTTTATGTGAAAAAAATCAAAAGAAAATGCCAGAACTATAGTACCGGCATTTTTATGTGAAAAAAATCAAAGAAAACGTCAGAACTATAGTTCTGGCATTTTTATATGAAAAAAAATCAAAAGAAAACGCCGGAACTATAGTACCGGTGTTTTTATGTAAAAAAAATTAAAAGAAAACGCCAGAACCAATAGTTCTGGTGTTTTTATGTAAAAAAAAATTAAAAGAAAATGCCAGAACCCATAGTTCCAGCGGTTTTATAAATGTACGAAACTGACAGTTATGGGCAGCAATTAGAATTGCGGAATTGCGGGCTACTAACCGCAATTCAACTTCAAAATCCGCAATATTGCAGAATTTAAAAATCATTTGCGGACCCATCC